AAATCACCAATAAAAATTTTTGATTCTGATAAAACAGAAAAAGCAACAGAACTTATAAAAAATTCAAATGCTTTATTATAAACATTCATCCATGTGCCTACTTTATACATTTTTATATTCCTTGAAAAGGAAAATAACAAAAATCTATGATTAACTTTAATATCAGTCACTTTAAAACCCGTTTTAATAAATTTATAATTAAACTGATCTAAATTTATAATTAATATTCCATACTTGGTATTTTTGTTTATATTTTTTTGATAAAGTTTAGAAGGTAAATGAGATAATGATGACATTATAATATAATTGTTTAATGGTAATAAACTTTCATTAAGTTTGCAAGAAATATAAGCAATTGAACCACTAACTATTATCTTAAACATTTCACTAATAAAACTTAAATCAATATTTTTAGAAAATACGTAATCAAATTTAAAAGTGCTGGTTAAATCAAAAGAATCATTTAAAAGCTTATTTTTTAAAACTTTAACTCGCTTATTTAGCAAATAAATCTCATCTTTATATTTATCTTCAATTTCTAAAATTTTAGAATTATCAATTGTTTCAATAGATTCAACATAGATGTATTTACAATCTTGTCTTTCTATCTCAAGGAAACATTTAGGACATTTATTTTTGCTCATTAGCCAAGCTTCAATACAAGAATTACAAAATAAATGTCCGCATTTAGTAGCAACTATTCTATGATCACCCTCATTTGTATATTCACTCATACATATTGGACATATTTTACCATCAACCATAAAAAAATAAAAAAATAAATTTAAATAAAAACGATCAATCAATTTATCTTTCTATTTTCTCTAATTTTTTAATCTCACACATTTCATCTACCAAATCAGATAAATTTAAAGGAGTTATTAAAATAAGTTGAATATTCTCTTATTTTACAAAATCAAATAAAGCTTTAATAGCATTTTTTCTATTAAGAGGATCCATAAATACATCAAATTCATCTAAAACTTTAACTGGACATACAAAACTTTTCCAAAGACTTAATAAAAAACAAACTGAAGCAAATGATCTTTCTCCGCCTGATAATGTATTTTTGTTTCCTAAAATGGACGAATTATGCACTCTCATTTTAAGATCAAGTAACTTATTAACATGATCAAATTCTAAACTACCATCATATCCACTTTTATTTGTTTGAATATTAAACTCTCTTATTGCCTCTTTAGTTTTAACATTGATTATTTCATTCCTCTTTTCTTCTCTCATATTAATTGTATTTAAAGTAACATTTAATAAATTATCAAAGGAATTGATATTATCAGTTAATAAAAGAATTTCCTCTGTTAATTTTTCTTTATTTTGAATCATTAAATCTTTATTGCCAAGTTCTTTAACTTCCATTATTTTTTGCTTAAGAAAAATTTTATCTTCCATTAATTTATCTTTAGATCTGAAATTGGCTCTTGCGCCTAACTCTTTAGATTTTATTTCAATTTTAGTTTTCTTAGCTTCCAATGCAATTTGATCTATCCTCTTATTTTCCTCAATCATTCTCATTTCAACTCTTACATCATTAATCATTTGATTTTTAACTTTAAAATAATTAGAGATTTGATCATTAATTTGATCATTTTGAGATTCTATTTTTGATTTTTCATTTTTTAGATCAATTAAATTTTGATGCAATATTTCCTTTTTAGACTTCATATTAGTTTTTTGTTTATTAATAATTTGCATCTTTCTTTCCATCATGTCTAAATCTTCATCTCTTACAATTTTAAAACTGTCTAATTCAGGAGTTACTCTCTTTAATTCATTTTCACAATTTCTTACAACATTACGATAATTACGAATCTCATTTTCTAATTCTTTTCTCAAATTTGTATATTCATTCTTTGTTTTAAGATTTGATAATTGGTTTTTCAAATCTTTTTCTCTGCTCTTAGAATCTTCAAAATAATAAAATCCCATCTCCCTATCTCTATTATCTGATAGATATTTTCCTATCATTTTGATTCTATCACCTGTTAGAATAAAAGCACAATCTACATTTGTTGGCTGACTTTCAATTACTTTATAAGCTTCCTGTCTATCTTCAATAAGAATGATTTGTTCAATATTATGATAGGTTATTAATGCATTCACTATAGGATCTTTATTTATTTTCAATACCGAATAGACTGTTTTATACTGAGATGAAGGTTCTCTTAAATTTTTAAACTTATTTTTTGATTGAAGTAATAAAATTGGAAATTGTAATTTTTTTTCTTTAAATAACTGATTTAACTTTTCTCTATCATCAATATTAAATACAATGTAATTATTAAGTGATTTAGATAAACAACCACTAATTGCTTTATACCATTTCTGTTCTTTTAATTCAATGTAATCAACAATTGGTCCAATAACTTCATCTTTAAAAGACATTCTTTTAATTTCTTCATTAATTAAATTAAAACTTTTTAATACTTTATCAAGTGCTGGATTATTACTATTATTATTGGCTATTAAATGTAATTCTCTTCTGATTGAATCACTAGCTTTACTTACATTTTGATTATTAAGATTCTCCTCATAAACCATTTCATTTAAATCATCATTCTGTTTTTCAAACTCTTTAATTTTATTTTTTGCTTCATTTATACTAAAAGTTAATTCATCAAATTCTTCTTCTAATTGTTTTTTATTAGAACGTTGTCTAACTTTTTCTAATTGAATTTTCTTTTCTTCATACTGATTTACAATATCTTTATAATCTTTAGTTAGTTTTTCATAATCAACTTCAACTTTATCAATTTTATTGTTTATTTCTGTTAGATCAGCTAATTTTTGTTGTGGTGTTTGTTCTTTAGAAATTTTATCAATTTTATTTATAAGAATATTTTCTTCTGCTTGATATCTATCTAGTTTTGTTTCTAATTCTTTCTTCTCATTCTCCATTTCAAATATTAAATGCCATTGTTCTTCTTTATGAACTTGTTCTAATAAACTTTCATAATCCTGATTCATAAAATCAATGTTCTTATTTAACACCTCTAATTGTTTTGATAAAATTACTTGTTTATTTTTAGTTTCTGTTATTTTGGATATCATCTCTTTTGTTTCTATTCCACATATACGAATATCTTCATCCAACTTCTTAAATTCTGTTCCCACATAAAAGAAATCATAAAGATCACTCGTTTTTTTAACATTTAATATTTTCTTAGACTCTTCTTGAGTTAAAAAGTTTAACGGATTAGCTAAGTTAAGTCCATACTCAAACATAATATTATCCATTTCATATTTTTTTAAACGCTTTGCTTTACCCTCTATTATCACCTTAATATCTGTTGTTCCCTTGAAATGTAATTGTTTAATTATTGTTATTTCATCACCATATGGTACTTGATAAAAACTTGATTTTAAGTTAAGATAGTTATTTAATGTTGCCTCTATAACTGCCATCTGTGTCTCACTTCTTATCAATGATCTATAACTATTACCTCTTTCCATTGATGCAGCTGTCTTACCAAATAATATTCCCAATGCTATCATAACTGCACTCTTACCAGAACCATTAACACCTCCTATACAAGTAATTGGCTTGCTAAAGTCTATTTTGAAGTTTTTATGACACATAAAGTTTTTTAATTTAACTGACTTGATCAATATTTTAGTTTCTTTCATTTTTTAAATTCTATGGGTTAAAAACTTATGAAAATTTCAAGTGAATTAAATTTTAATTGATTTTTTAATAATTTTATTAAGTTTATACTATTTTTTGTTTAAAATCAATTTCAAATAAAAAAATTGTTTTTTATATAAAAAGTTTATATTTATTTAATAAACTAATTATTTTAACCTCAAATACATATTTAAATAAATATAAACTTTAAACTATTATTAACATTATTTAATTAAAATATTTATAATTAAAAAAGAATAATTTTTATATTATAAACATAACTGT